CAGGAAAAAGTGGGAAAAATGGGGAAAAAATGGGAAAAAATGGGGAAAAAGTGGGAAAAAGTGGGAAAAGATGGAAAAGTGGGAAAAACCGGGATAATGGTGGGGAAAAGTGGGAAAAAGTGGGAAAAATGGGGGAAAAATGGGAAAAGAAAGGGAAAAATGGGGAAAAAATGGGGAAAAGTGGGATAAATGTGGGGAAAAGTGGGAAAGAAGCAGGAAAAAATGGGAAAAAACAGGGAAAAACTGGGATAATTGTGGGGAAAAAGTGGGAAAAAAGTGGGAAAGAAGCAGGAAAAAATGGGAAAAAACAGGGAAAAAGTGGGAAAAGATGGAAAAGTGGGAAAAACCGGGATAATTGTGGGGAAAAGCGGGAAAATTGCAAGGAAAAAGTGGGAAAAATGGGGGAAAATGGGAAAAAACAGGGAAAGAAGCAAGAAAAAAATGGGAAGAATGGGAAAAAGTGGGAAAAGATGGAAAAGTGGGGAAAAGTGGGGAAAAATGGGATAATTGTGGGAAAAAAGCAGGGAAAAAGTGGGAAAAAACCAGGGAAAACCAGGGAAAAATGGGAAAAAGTGGGAAGAATTGGGAAAAAACAGGGAAAAGTGGGAAAAAGGTGGGAAAAAGGGGGGAAAAGTGTGGAAAAATGGGGGAAAAGTGGGGAAAAGTGGGAAAGAAGCAAGAAAAAACAGGAAAAGTGGGAAAATTGCAGGAAAAAGTGGGAAAAATGGGGAAAAAATGGGAAAAAATGGGGAAAAAGTGGGAAAAAGTGGGAAAAGATGGAAAAGTGGGAAAAACCGGGATAATTGTGGGGAAAAGCGGGAAAATTGCAAGGAAAAAGTGGGAAAAATGGGGGAAAATGGGAAAAAACAGGGAAAGAAGCAAGAAAAAAATGGGAAGAATGGGAAAAAGTGGGAAAAGATGGAAAAGTGGGGAAAAGTGGGGAAAAATGGGATAATTGTGGGAAAAAAGCAGGGAAAAAGTGGGAAAAAACCAGGGAAAACCAGGGAAAAATGGGAAAAAGTGGGGAAAAAAGTGGGAAAAAGTGGGAAAAGATGGAAAAGTGGGAAAAACCGGGATAATGGTGGGGAAAAGTGGGAAAAATGGGGGAAAAATGGGAAAAGAAAGGGAAAAACGGGGAAAAAATGGGGAAAAGTGGGATAAACGTGGGGAAAAGTGGGAAAGAAGCAGGAAAAAATGGGAAAAAACAGGGAAAAAGTGGGGAAAAATGGAAAAGTGGGAAAACCGGGATAATGGTGGGGAAAAGTGGGAAAATTGGGGGAAAAATGGGGGGAAAAAAGCAGGGAAAAGCAGGGAAAAATGGGAAAAAGTGGGAAGAATTGGGAAAAAACAGGGAAAAAATGGGAAAAAGTGGGAAAATTGCAAAGAAAAAGTGGGAAAATGGGGAAAAAATGGGAAAAAATGGGGAAAAAGTGGGAAAAGATGGAAAAGTGGGAAAAACCAGGATAATTGTGGGGAAAAGCGGGAAAATGGCAGGAAAAAGTGGGAAAAATGGGGGAAAAATGGGAAAAAAAAGGGAAAGAAGCAAGAAAAAAATGGGAAAAATGGAAAGAATGGGAAAAAGTGGGAAAAGATGGAAAAGTGGGGAAAAGTGGGAAAAAAACGGGATAATTGTGGGAAAAAAGCAGGGAAAAATGGGAAAAAAGTGGGAAGAATTGGGAAAAAACAGGGAAAAGTGGGAAAATGGTGGGAAAAAGGGGGGAAAAGTGGGAAAAAAACCAGGGAAATGTGGGAAAGAAGCAAGAAAAAACAGGAAAAGTGTGAAAATTGCAGGAAAAAGTGGGAGAAATGGGGGGAAAATGGGAAAAAACAGGGAAAAAGTGGGATAATGGTGGGAAAAAGGTGGGAAAAACTGGGATAAACGTGGGAAAAAGTGGGAAAGAAGCAAGAGAAAACTGGGAAAAAACAGGGAAAAAGTGGGGAAAATGGAAAAGTGGGAAAACCGGGATAATGGTGGGGAAAAGTGGGAAAATTGCAAGGAGAAAGTGGGAAAAATGGGGGAAAAATGGGAAAAAATGGGGAAAAAGTGGGAAAAAGTGGGAAAAGATGGAAAAGTGGGAAAAACCTGGATAATGGTGGGGAAAAGTGGGGAAAAGTGGGAAAAATGGGGGAAAAATGGGAA